ATTACATTACCTTATTTTTAGGCCTGTTATTTATGTGGTTTTTACATGGGTGTTCGTTTTCCAGCACAAACAAGACTTCTTTGCTTTCCCTGTACACTGCTCCCAACTTATCACAGGGAGCACTGAGAACAGACTGGCACACAGAGTGTCCCAATAAACTACTGCTTCAGTTGTCATGGAAATACAGCAAAATCTTACTGATTGGCAAGCAGCAACAGAACCAATCTGTGTTTTACCGGAGAATACAAGAAAGTACCTAAATTAAACAGGTTGACGGCTTTCCCAAGCCTTTTTTTTTTTTTTTTAATGAAGTCTTTTCCAATGGTATTTTATTGCATATAGAAAGTGCAGGAAAATATTACATAAGGTTTTTAATTTTTCAGTTATGGTAAAAATGATGCTAAGCTATTCTATGAGCCCACCTAATTGCTGTATTTCTGCTAAGCTGTAACGCTTTCTTGCAATTAACCTGAAAAAACCTGTGGCCCGCTTTTGAAAAACCTAATTAACCCATAAAATGAGTCTTTCACATATTTTTGTGTGCACCTTAAAGCTAAACTCAAGGATTGCTCCTTGATTTCTACACCTTTTGTTAATGTTTGCATCCTAAAGCTGAATTCTGGAATTGCTACCCTTGCAGTGAGGTCCTTCCACATTGCAAGGGTTAAAACCTTTTTATTTCTTGGGGTATGGGAAAAGGTATTAGTACTCCTTGCCTCAACCAGCTTCAGCGATCTCCTCTTTAACCTGGATTTCTGGGCGATGGGTGATTCATTGACATCATCACGTTCAATGCAGAGCTATTAATCCTGCATTGTACATGAAGAAGGCTGAGAATGCCTTTGAGAGGTGGCAGCGCTGAATTGGTCACATACTGTAGATGGAAGCCGACTGGAGCCAGGAATAAGTAAGTATTACTCTTTATTTCTATATCCTCTAGACCTGGGGTCTCCAAACTTTCCAAAGTCCTTTAGACTTTAGGAGGGCCGGATTGTGGCCAGCGGGGGTAGAAAAAGTCTCAGGACCAACATTAGTGGCGGTAAACAAGGTCTCAGGTGTGGTGTCCAGTCTCATAGTGCCTGTGGTCAGTAGGAGGACTAGTGCCCCATCATTGCTATCACTGGAAGGAATATTGGCCCATCATGTTAGTGGATGGAATAGGGCCCCATCATTGATATTAATGGGAAGAATAGTGTCCCATTGCTGGTGTCAGTTGGGGGAATTATGCCCCACTTTCGGTGTCAGTGTTAGGAATAGTGCCCAAGGGCCGGATAAAGGCTAGCAAAGGGCCGCAGTTTGGCAACCACTGCTCTAGATTTAATAAGCATTTAACCTTTGCAATGTGAGGCCCCTCTTTAGGTTTCTTTTTTTTTTCAGCCCAGAGTACAACTTTCAGAAACAGAGGCTTTCTGGATTCATAAGCAGTTTGAAACCGGTACAGGCAAGAAGGCCAAACAATTGTTATATGCATTCATAGTAACTTTTTTTTTCTTCTTGTTATTGTATTAAAGTCCAACTATAGGCAAAACTTTTTTTGTCATTTTGGATAGAGTAAGGGAGGGTTACAACCCCTGTCTGATCTTTTTTTTTGCCATCTGTGTCCCATTACAAAGATTTCCCTTTACTTCCTGACCCAAACAGGAAGTGAGCAGAAATCCCTACAAATTAAGGGAATTCCTTGGGGACCCTCCAGGTGTACCCTTTGGAAGACTTCCCCTTTATTATTTTTCTAGGGACAACCTAAAATTTTGGATTTTCTTTTACTTTCACTTTCAATGAAAATGGCAAATAGGACAAATAGAGAGGGTGAATCTCCCTAACGAGGGGACAGACAGGGGTTCTAATCCCTCTCTATTCCATCCAAACCTAAAAAAGTTTTTCCTTTAGTTATGCTTTAAGTATTTTAATGTGGAACTTCACTCCCCTAATCAACATGAACTATTTTTAATTCTTATGCTTCTAGCATTAGTAAATAGATAGGAAAGTTTATCATATTTACTTTTTTTTTACATTTCTTTAGTTACATCCTGGTTTCCAAGCCTAGGCAAATGATGTCATACATCCCAGGAGTCTTCAGGAGAGGAGGAGGGGTTTTCTCAGCTAAGAATGCCCTGCTGCCTGCATGATTGAACTAAGGGCAGATGCATTCCACAAAGTAAATGCTATATGAATCACCTGCCCTTACTCAAGATGGCCACTGCCAGAAATTCAGTGGGTGTTTTTAAAGTGTTTTCTCAACAAAATGAAGTACGGAGACATGGATGGATGGGAGCTTGAGTTCTCTTGACTATGTAAAATTAATTAAATAGAGCTTTTGGTTTTTTGGTACTGCACTGTAGTTCCTCTTCAAGAATAACACCTAAATGTGATGAGTTATAGTAAGCAAAAGATTTACAGAACAGCAAACACCGAAAGCTACAGGGCAGCAGGGCTGCGCAAAATCACGTATATATACATGATTTTGCATTTCCAGGTAGGGGGCACATGCGTGCGCCGCTCTACCTGCACTGCCATTGGCGGTTACAGATGTCGATCACCGAGTCCCAGACAGAGATTCCCCGCCAGCCACCCAACGATCGCCGAGGAACAGTGAAAGGGGAGAAGTCTGTATGTAAACAACACAGATCTCTCCCCTGTCAGCACCGACATGCTGCTTTGTATTGCTCTGCATAGCAGAGCAATACAAAGCAGTATGTTTCCCTAGTAAAGCACACACAGCACACACAGTAAAACAGCACACAGCACACTGTTAATCCTTTGATTGCCCCAGATGTTAACATCAGTTAGTCAGTTCCCTCCCAGTGTCAGAATGCCTGCCGCAGTCCCACAGTCCCGCTATAAATCACTGATTGCCACCATTACTAGTATAAAAAAAAAAATCCAGTATATATAATGTCATTTGTAGATGCTATAGCACTCACGTAAACCAATTATTTACATGTATTGGGATTTATTTTAGCAAAGACATATAGCAGAATACAGTTTGGCCTAAATTTATGATGAAATTTGGTTTTTTCTATATATATTTTTACTGGATATGTTTTATAGCAAAAAGTCAAAAATATTTTTTTTTCAAAATTGTTGGTCTTTATAGCGCAAAAAAAAAAAACGCAGAGGCGATCGAATACCACCAAAAGATAGCTCTAGTTGAGGGGAAAAAAAGGGACATGAATTTGATTTGGGTGCTGCGTTGCATGACAATGCAATTGTCAGCTAAAATAACGAAGCGCCATATTGCAAAAAATGGCCTGATCAGGAAGGGGGGGGGGGGGGGTAAATCCTCTGGAGGGCAAATGGTTAATACATATGCTGCAGGGACCACACTGACTTAGTGACTTGGCATCTTTCTGCGGTTTAACCCATTTTACCTTTATTAGCAGTAAAAAATTACAGGGATTCTAATACTTGTTCCACATGCTTTAGTTTAGTAGCTTTTTTGTGAATTGCAAAAAAAGTTGGAAAAAAGCTAGGAGTTATTTTATGTCAGATTTTCAGAGGAAAATAACTCTTTGTGAACTGAACCCAGTACACAGTATCTCACAGAAGTGAGTACACCCCTCACATTTTTGTCAATATTTTATTATATCTTTTCATGTGACAACACTGAAGAAATGACACTTTGCTACAATGTAAAGTAGTGAGTTTACAGCTTGTATAATACAGTGTAAATTTGCTGGCCCCTCATAATAACTCAACACACAACCATTAACGTCTAAACCGCTGGCAACAAAAGTGAGTACACCCCCTAAGTGAAAATGTCCAAATTGGGCCCAATTAGCCATTTTCCCTCCCCAGTGTCATGTGACTCATTAGTGTTACAAGTTCTCAGGTGTGAATGGGGAGCAAGTGTGTTAAATTTGGTGTTATCGCTATGAGGGATGAAATACTATATTGGGGGGATGAAATACTCTATATGAGGGATGAAATACTATATGCTCACATCTCTCATACTGGTCACTGGAAGTTCAACATGGCACCTCATGGCAAAGAACTCTCTGAGGATCTGAAAAAAGAATTGACAGCGAGCTCTACATAAAGATGGCCTAGGCTATAGGAAGATTGCCAAGATCTTGAAACTGAGCTGCAGCATGGTGGCCAAGACCATACAGCAGTTTAACAGGACAGGTTTACCACTCGGGGGAACAGCAAAGTGTCATTTCTTCAGTGTTGGCACATGAAAAGATATAATAAAATATTTACAAAAATGTGAGGGTTGTACTCACTTCTGTGAGATACTGTACCTTCCCCACACTGCACCAATGCTCTGATCTGCCCTGTTTTTGCAAGTTTTGACTTTCTGAAATTCAAAGCTTGTACAGGGATAAGCAAGATTCAACCCCTAATGACAGGACTTTGGCTTAGTGATTGGCTACTACTAAGACACATAGGCAGGGAGGAGTGTCACATGTGCTCCACACCAGGAACTATCAGGTGTTTTCAGGGGCCTGGCAGCAGAGTAGTGAAAGATAGCAGGAATGGTAAGAACACGCATACTGTTGTGCTGATTATATGTTACAAGTAAAATACTGGATCACTTTAACCACTAGCCTATAGGGCACTTATACCCCCTTCCTGCCCAGGCCAATTTCCAGCTTTCAGCGCTGTCACACTTTGAATGACAATTGCGCGGTCATGCAACACTGTACCCATATGAAATTTTTATCATTTTTTTGAAACAGATAGAGCTTTCTTTTGGTGGTATTTAATCACCTCTGGAATTTTTATTTTTTCTTAAACAAACCAAAAACCACTGAAAATTTTGAAAAAAAAAAAAAACGTTTTTTTCTTAGTTTTTGTTATACAGTTTTGTAAATAAGTGATTTTTCTCCTTCACTGATGTGCGCTAATGAGGCTGCAGTGACTGGAACTGATAGGCTGCACTGATGGGCACTGATGAGGAGGCACTGGTAGGTTGCACTGATGGGCATTGACAGGCATCACTGATGGGCACTGAAAGGCAGCACTGATACATGACACTGATATATGGCACTGATAGGCGGCACTGATAGGCAGCACTGACTGGCACTGATAGACTGCACTGACTGGCACTGATAGGCGGCACTGACTAGCACTGTTAGGCGGCACTGACTGGCACTGATGCGCACTGATAGGCGACACTGATTGGCACTGATAGGTGGCACTGATTGGCAGCACTGATATGTGGCACTGATTGGCATTGATAGGTGACACTGACTGGCACTGATGAGTGACATTGAAAGGCAGCTCAGATGGGCACTGATATGTGGCATTGATGTGGCACTGATGGGCACTGGCACATGGCACTGATGGGCACTGGCACGTGGCACTGATGAGCACCGTCAGGTGGCACTTCTGGGGCCACACTGATCATCAGGGCACACTGATCATCAGTGCCCTGATGATCAGTGTACATATCCCCGATTACCGGCTCTCCTCTCGAGCTGTCAGCATGACAGCTCGACAGGAGAGAAATGCCGATAACCGGCATTTCCATGTTTACATGTGATCAGCTGTGATTGGACACAGCTGATCACATGACTAAGCCGACATCTTCGGCTCTTTCCGTGATCCGCTGTATCCGAGGGAGCCGCGCATGTGCGGTGAGAAATGGGAGGATGTCATATGACGTCCTATCAGAACGATAGAACCACCTTGCGCCCGTCATTGTACTACAGGGCGGACGGAAGGTGGGTAAAGATAATCTGAGGACTTTAATAGAGCATTCATGAAATTATTCTGGCGGTAGTTTCCTTTAAAACAACCTGCACCTAATTTTGACAGTACTGACAGATGCAACATATTTAGGTAGTTCTGACTCTTTTAAGAACCTTATGCTGTGGCTGTGACAGATTCTTAAAAAATTACCACCAGTTTGCAGAATAGGAAACTGGCAGTCATCAAGACCAACTCTGAGCTTGTTTACAGAGGGGCTCCAGTGCTCAGAGTTGAGCATTTTGTGCTGGGAAGCTTTCATAAATGTGACAGTTTCCCACATATCGCTCAATGTTGCTAGGACGCCAGCGGCTGCCAGCTTGAAAGCAACTGATGACCAATCCCCAGCCCCATTTCCCCGCACTGCATTCCTGTTCAAATCTCATGCGACTCTTTGCAGTGCAATTTGAGCGCATTCATTTTATATTATCATTTCATTATCATTTTATATGGCTCAAATTGCACCGCACCCACATGAAAAAGGTGAGTGCACCTTTTTTTTGCCGCACTGAAGTTGGATCACATGGGTGTTCATCACACTGCATTTTGCAAACCATTTTTGGGGTGTCATTCACTTAACCCCTTGAGGCCGACGTCACACAAATATGCGGCCTCACAGTACTGGGCTTTTTTCTGTAAGGGCTGCATATTTGCGTACCTGTCTTTGTCCTGGGAGTGCGGTTTTACTAAGACATGTCAACTTTGCAAAATTGTGCTTAGGCAATAAGATTTGTTTTACCCTTAGGCGTGAAGGGGTTAACATTGACACGGTTCAAATGAATGGAGTGCGATGGTGATGCGGCGCGGGAAACACAGGAATCTCAAATCCTGCACCGCGTCAGTGTGAACCGGGGCTAAGCGTTTTGTGTTAAAACCATGTGCTGTATTCCTTCAATACTTATAAACTGTGATGGAAGAAGTCTCACGTTTGTCATGAGTGTCAGTCTAGAATAAGTATAAATGATTTAATCAGTGGCTCAGCAGACTAATCCATCTTTATAGATGCAGAGTTGTCTTGAAGATACAGCCGCCTTTGTCTATCTGAGAACCAGTGATGGTGTGAATATACATTGTTGGTCCTCTACTTGCAATGTTTATACTGGTTCAGTGCACTGGATTACAAAGACTGTCGCTTTTAAAAGGCTTTGTAAATAAAAGATAGAGGAAACCCTGAGTGACGGTCATGAACAAAACGTCATGAGGGGGGAACACTGACAACAAAGTCACAAGATGCAGACAGCAAAGTGCATTTGTATTCAGCACACAGAGTACTGTGTCCTCTCTGCTGCCCACAGCCTATTAGAAAGCCTACTTGCATACCAATGTGTGTGCACTGCCCGAGTGCCAGCCTGGCATACATTAATGATATTATTAAACAGGCACTGTCCAGTGCTAAACATGCTCCAGTAGTGGGGAGGAATGTGCAGACTCCCACTGCATTTTTGCAAGCTGTAATTCATCACTTTCAGAAAGTGACTGCTGTCTACACACTATGCTGAGGCTGTCCACAGCTCAGATCAGTGTATAAACAAATTCATGTCTGAAAATCAACACAGGAAGCCAAATACTGAAACGAGTAAAAGATGTCATGCTCACCATATGAGAGTTTTCTGCATCCAGTGTGATGAAAACATTTAAAAAAAAATAAAACTTTAAATATATTGTTGCTTAAAACATAACAGTATTACTGCCCACTTAGCTTTGTAAAGTCATTCAAATATTCAAAAGCAATCCCTTTGTTATGTTTTTGTGTAAAAGCCTTATTCTGGCAATTGCTCATCCAGTGAATGCTGAAATGCTAAGACCGAGTCTGCTGATCATCCAAATCCAAAGCGTTCAAGCCATGCCTCGAATGTAAGTATGTAAGCAAAATTGTTTGGTTCAGCGTGCCTAAAGCTATGGGAAAAAATAATTTAAAAGGAAAAAAGATATAACATACAGTACATACAGTGGGGATCGAAAGTTTGGGCACCCCAGCTAAAAATTTGTATTAATGTGCATAAAGAAGCCAAGGAAAGATGGAAAAATCTCCAAAAGGCATCAAATTACAGATTAGATATTCTTATAATATGTCAACAAAGGTTAGATTTTATTTCCATCATTTACACTTTCAAAATAACAGAAAACAAAAAAATGGCGTCTGCAAAAGTTTGGGCACCCTGCAGAGTTAATATCTTGTACTGCCCCCTTTGGCAAGTATCACAGCTTGTAAACACTTTTTGTAGCCAGCCAAGAGTCTTTCAATTCTTGTTTGAGGTATCTTTGCCCATTCTTCCTTACAAAAGTCTTCCAGTTCTTTGAGATTTCTGGGCTGTCTGTCACGCACTGCTCTTTTAAGGTCTATCCATAGATTTTCAATTATGTTGAGGTCAGGAGATTGTGAAGGCCATGGCAAAACCTTCAGTTTACGCCTCTTGATGTAATCCCCCGTGGATTTTGAGGTGTGTTTAGGATCATTATCCATTTGTAGAAGCCATCCTCTCTTTAACTTCAGCTTTTTCACAGATGGCATCAAGTTACCATCCAAAATTTGCTGAAATTTTATTGAATCCATTTTTCCTTCTACTCGTGAGATGTTCCCTGTGCCACTGGCTGCAACACAACCCCAAAGCATGATTGATCCAACCCCATGCTTAACAGTTGGACAGAGGTTCTTTTCATTAAATTCTGTGCCCCTTCTTCTCCAAACGTACCTTTGCTCATTCCGGCCAAAAAGTTCCATTTTAACCTCATCGGTCCACAGAACTTGTTTCCAAAATGCATCAGGCTTGTCTATATGTTCATTTGCAAAATTCAAACGATGATTTTTGTGGTGAGGACGTAGAAGAGGTTTTCTTCTGATGACTCTACCATGAAGACCATATTTGTACAAGTATCTCTTTATAGTGGAATAGTGTACCACAACTCCACGGTCTGCCAGATCTTTCTGGAGGGATCGTGCAGTCAAACGTAGGTTTTGAATTGTTTTTCTCACAATCCTGCGAGCTGTTCTGTCTGATATTTTTCTTGGTCTTCTAGATCTTGCTTTAACTTCCACTGTTCCTGATGACTGCCATTTCTTAATTACATTCCGAACAGAGGATATTGACATCTGAAAACGCTTGGCTATCTTCTTATAGCCTTCTCCAGCTTTGTGAGCGTCAACTATTTTCAGTTTCAGTTTTCTAGACAACTGCTTAGAAGAACCCATGGTGCTGATTGTTGGGGCAAGGTCAGATGAGTCTGGGCACTTAAAACCTTTGAGACTGACATAACCTGATCTGCCCAGACGATGATTGAGAACAATCCATGACACTGGCAGGTCTCAGCTTTGCAAAGGGGGCAGTGCATGCTATAAATTCTGGAGGGTGCCCAAACTTTTGCAGACGCCATTTTTTTGTTTTCTGTTATTTTGAAAGTGTAAATGATGGAAATAAAATCTAACTTTTGTTGACATATTATAAGAATGTCTAATCTGTAATTTGATGCCTTTTGGAGATTTTTCCATCTTTCCTTGGCTTCTTTATGCACATTAATACAAATTTTTAGCTGGGGTGCCCAAACTTTCGATCCCCACTGTAACTGATACACAAGCCATTTAAAGCAGAGCTCCACCCAAAAGACGTTCCACTTTAAGGCTTTGTCCCTGGCTCTCCGTTAATGATTGGCACCTTTGGCACAGAATTGACAGGCACCCGCTCCTCTGCTGCGATCACCTAGGCAATCAGAAGCGGAAGTTGTCCCCTCCCTCCCCGTAGTCTTCTGGGACACCCTAAAGGGGATATTCTACTTTAAGGACTGGTCTCCCACTCCCCATTAAGGATTGAGACCTTTGGAGAGTGGGAGGAGCGGGTACCCAAAATTGACAGGTACCCGCTCCCACTTCCGCTGTGATGGCCTAGGCGATCGGAAGCAGAAGTTGTCCCCCTCCTCCCTCCCCGTAGTCTTCTGGGACACATGACAGGTTCCAGAAGATTATGGGGCCTTTCACAAAGTGCAGCGCTACTCGCATGCGCAGTGGGCACCCGGCTGTGAAGCCGCAAGCAGTCACAGCTGGGTGCCCCACTGAAGATGCCAGCACTGAGGAGACAGGACAATCGGTAAACCCGGCCGATGTGAGGATACCACGGGATCAAGGGACAGGTAAGTATCTGTTTTTAAAAGTCAACAGCTACATTTTTTGTAGCTGCCGACTTTAATTTTTTAATTCCCACTGGACCTCCGCTGTAAAGTGTATGTTACCCACAAATTTCATATTCCTGATATGTTTCTGCTGTGCCATGTACTTGTTTGAAAAAGTATCCTGTTCTCTTTGTACTGCTTCCTTTGTGTGAAACACTTGGTGATCCTGTCAGTCCCCCTGCTTTCCTTTTTCAAACTGACCACACCAGGGCATGGAAGTACATCCATCCCAGTGTGGTCAGATTTCTTCTTTCCATTCTACTTGGATGCACTGCCTGCCTGTACGTCAGTGGTCAGGTTTGACACGCCCTCTGCACAGCTCTTCACTGGGAAGATCAGTGTCCTGCAGTTACTCTGCTTCCTGCTGACACCTCCCTGCAGTCTCCACCCCCACCTCTCTAAGCCCCTAGTGCAGCTGGAAACAGAGGTCAAGTGATGTGTCACTTTTGAAAGAAAGAAAAAAAAAAGCATTTATAAGCAACTCCTCCTAGACATGAATAAAGATGTACGATGGCCACACAAAACAGAAATAAAAGGTACAAAACTTTTATATTTTCAATGTGATTGTGTTAGTAAGATAGTACTCCCTTTCTTGTAGTATTGTTTTGCTGTAATCCATTCACACATTCTTTAACACACAGACTCATGCATGTAAGCACTGCAGGAGGCCATAAACATGTGAGTATG